TCGTTGACATTGGCACATTGGCCAAGTACAAAGCAGCCGGGATTCTTCTTGGTCAACATTCAAAGCAAACAAGTTTTATTTAGTGACAAACATTTATCCTACGCCAAAATCACGTAGTACATTTTATCACGGTCGTATGTTTTTATTCCTGGTGATAAATTATTGTTGTCATATTCTCAAAGATTATATATGTTATGGTTTTTCTCATAGATTATTATATGTTATGTTTTCTCATAGATTATAAACGTTCTGTTTTCAGACCAGAGTGCACTGGCAAGCGGACATGCCTGACGATATCTGTCACGAGAAAAACTGCACTAGAACGTTTGGGATATTAGGCCGTCGGCATCACTGCAGGAGGTATGTATGCACGTGCCCGTTGCCTTTGTTATTCTGGTGTTCTCAATTACACCTTCTTGGTTCTGTGTGCATGCTTGTTGGGTGTGCGGTCGTTTGTTGTATCGAATGCATTTCTGGTGCTTGGCTGGTGTCGATTGCTATGTGAGAAGTTTCATCAATGTGTAATGTGTATTGGAGCTCCAAAGTCCATTGTTGGATGTGTGAACATGACCACATACGTTTAGCTGAACATGGCATAGTTCTGTCTCCGGTGCAGTATTGACTTGTGTTACAAGTACTAATTTGGTAGTACAGGCTCGCGCGCTTTGAACAGATCGCATGACTATGCGCACGTCTTCTGCATGTGTCGTCATTGGCTGTGTGTTACGTTCACGTTTAGTATTTATTGTTTTGAGAGGTGCTGAACGGCAAAGTGCTCGTCATCGTCACTCGACACAATAAGGGTTTACATCCGTCTACGCACGTATGAGTATGTTTGTTCTATTCCCATATAGCAAAGCCATCAACACAAACATATCCTACGGCTCCTTCAATTGAGCTACCTTACAAAGCTGTCGGCACTTGCAATATATAATTCACACCCTCAAACACGCACAGTTGCTGCTATGTATCGTCCAAGAACACAACCCAACCACACACACTCACAGTTGCTGCTATGTATCGCTTGCGTATCATGTAGGTGTGGCAAGATCTACTGCAAGAGCCATCTCCTGCACCACATGAAGCTTTCAGCGCAAGCGTCGTATGATCCCGACTATGGCATGCTCGTGCCGGTATGTAGGTCGTGCCACGCCACTACCGAGAAATACATCGACCACCAAGGTACTTCTGTTCAGTTCCCTGTACAGTGGTACTGCTTTGTATATGTATGTGCCTGGAAGAGGTGTAACCTCAATGGGGTATGTGTTCGTGTGGTGTGGGCTTACTCCC